ATTTAAGTTCTTACTGATCACCCTGTAAAGTGGAGAATTATTATTATTATTATTATTATTTGTTTTTTTAATTATTATTTTTGTTTAAATTCTGGATTTATATAAAAATCCAGACATGATGTATTCATCTTTTAAATAAGTGTAGTCTTTTGAAAGTAAAATATGTACACAATGGTCAATTAGTCTTTTTATGTAGTTCCTTTTTTAACAAAGTGAGATCTTCTATATTGTCGAGTAAAGCTGAGTGAATGGGTTGAATCTTAGCAGCTGTAACATCTTTCTTCAATTCTTCCATATCTCTCTTCAATTTTGCTCTCCGATTCTGAAACCATGTTATGACTTGGGCATTAGTAAGACCCAGCGATTGAGCGATTTCATCTCTGTCTGCTGGTGATAAGTATTTTTGATATAAGAATCTCTTTTCTAGTTCAAATATTTGATGATTTGTAAAAGCAGTCCTGGATTTTCTCTTTTTCTTTGGCTGTTGTCGATTACTGAAGAGATTCAGATGATCTCTTGAAGATTCTAGAAATGAAACAAAATTTGATTTAGAAACTTTCCATTTACAATATTTACATTTATAAAAATACAGATAAAATAATTTGCTTTTATACTCAATATAAACTAAATATATATTATATATCCCCCATATAGACCTATAAAGTTTAAAATAAAAAATTATAGCTTAATTTATAAAAACATTAAGGCTGTCATTTTGAATGTCACATACAAAACTTACAATCGAAATATATTTAAGAAACTGTATCTGTAATTATATTCTTCATAACTTGCAGCGATTTTATTAAATTTATTTATTTATTTATTAAAATCTCTTAAAATTAGAGAAATTCTTTAAAATCTTTAATTAAAACGAGAAACATAGATTAGTTTGTTAGTATAAGAACAAAGAATCTTGTTTTACTATTTTCCACTTCATCTAATTTTAAGAAATTTTAATAAACAAATTGTATCTGTGCTTTAAATCTTAACGAGAATTTATTAAACTTTTCTGTCAATCAATCCGCAACAATTTATAAATTTTAAATAATGTTAAATTTAAGACTATTTACTGTTTTTATAATCGAATTCTCTAAAAAATCTGAAGTGTACGAATCAGAATTATATAAATAATTTTCATTTATTACATGTTTAAATAATAAAAATAAACTAGCTTTACTAGGAAAATCTGAGAAATAATTATTTAAAGGATTTTTAAAAAGTTGAAAAAAATTTACAGAAAAAATTATTTTTTTTGTGGTATAAAAATTTCTGTGGAAATTATATTGCATATCGCATTTATGATTTTTTTTCAACTGTAATAAAGAAAACAATAATCATAAAACAGAATTATTATCTGATTTATCAAAGATAGGAAAATTTTTATTACAGTACTGTACAGTACTTCGTTGAAAAAAACACTACAAATTTAAAGGAAAATTTTTATCTATATTTTTTTATTTTTAATTCAAATTATTATTATTCTTTAATTGTTTTTTTTTCGATTTTAATTAAAAAAAAGAAAATTATTTTTTAATATCTGCATTTTTAAAAAACAAAGTTTTACAAAAAAACAAAAAAAAATTCGATTTTACGAAAAATGATTTTTAAATACAAATAACAATTATTTAAAATTACTAATTACTTAAGTTTTATTTTTTAAAAAATAAGACAGTTTATAATTTTAACTTTTACATAATGTTATTCGAAGTTATAATGCAGAGCGAATTAACGTTTATAGAACTGTATAAAAATTGCGATGACAATGAATATTTCCTTTTATATTTTGAAATTTATAGAAAGAAAGATTTTTAAATATATACGTAATCATTTTATGTATTATTTAACGTATATTTTAAATGAAATTTGTTTTGTTATTATGAATAAAGTCTTACGTTATTGCCAAAATCCGATTATTATCAAGCCATTTTTATACATAAAATTATTTTATACATTTATGTAAAACTTAAAAGTGCAGTCTTAATCATGCAATGTAAGTTTTAGATAGGTCTAAACCTTATATAATTACATTAAAAAAAATTAGTGTACGCTTAATATAGCGCAATAGGGAAATTTGTAATATAATTACTTGACCAACTGCCAATTATATCCGACATTTTATATAAAAATATATAAATTTGATCAATTTTATTCTTACATTGTCATGAATAAACATAAAAAAATAAAAATTATTATTATTATTATTTGATTTATCAGTTAATTTTATAAGATTATCATTATTTTATTTGCCTTTTCGTAATCTGTTTTTCTATCCTATCTGAGAAATATAATACTCTAAATTGAAAATGTCTTGTATTTTTTTATGCTTTATTAAGTTATATAAACAAATCACGTGTTATACAGTTTATTTCTGCTATTAACTATTAGATATTACACATGAAAATCGTATCTCATATTAAATTAAAAACTTAATAATATTCACTAGGTCATTTAGAATCTAATTATTCCTAATTAGTGTAAATTAAACATAATTAAATTATTAATTTTTTACGTCAAAATGAATTACAGAGCGTAACATAATTGAATAACATATCTATAACAATAATAAAAATGAATGATAACATTTAAGAGTTTTTTAGAAGACCAAAATTTTGATTGTATAAATTGTAAAAGTTGTTCTTAGTAAAGAAGCAGAAATTAATTTTATTATCAAAATTTATTATAAATTTTAATAATTTTTTATGGATCAATTGATAAATTAAACAATATTGTTAATGAGTTTGATTTAGGCTATATATAGTCGAATTAGATCGGGCGAAATAGATCCTGGCTACACGAAAATGAGTATTTGCTTCAAAATTGAATAGGCCTGTATGAAGATAAATAAGTTCAAATAACGCAAAATGGAACAGAAATGACACAATTTTCAATATAAATTGTTTTTTCATAATATGTAAAATGAATATTTACAATATTTCTGTAAATTTCTATTTATTTAAATGGAAAATTGAAACTCATATTATATGGTACTCCGTATGTCTAAGCCGATATGGAAGGTATAAAAGCATTTTAATTAAAGTTAACGTGATCAATATTAAAGACAATTTTATAAAAACCAAATTTAATATGAAATTATTAAATAAAGTACAGTTCTAAACGAAATTAAACGTAAATGTATAATTTTATTTACCACATTTAAGTTCTTACTTCAAAGTCTTCTTACTCAAAAAATCACAAACAAGTGCAGATTCACTTGAAGACTTCGAGAGAAGAATAAAATTTAAAAGCTTTCTAGAATCTAGATACTGTACAGAATTTTAACATACCTACAAGCCTATAGGTCCTAGTATTTTTTTTGTGTTTTTTTTATTTAAGTACAGTTCTAAAATTTTTGGAAAAGCTTTGAATAAATTTATACAAGGAGAAACATGAACAGATTCCACTCCGAAGTATTTACACACAAAATGCAAGGCACTCAGTACATCGGGGCTATGTACACGTGATATGTGAAATCATCCGGGAAAGTACTGATCACCCTGTAAAGTCTAGAATTATTATTATTATTATTATTATTTGTTTTTTTAATTATTATTTTTGTTTAAATTCTGGATTTATATAAAAATCCAGACATGATGTATTCATCTTTTAAATAAGTGTAGTCTTTTGAAAGTAAAATATGTACACAATGGTCAATTAGTCTTTTTATGTAGTTCCTTTTTTAACAAAGTGAGATCTTCTATATTGTCGAGTAAAGCTGAGTGAATGGGTTGAATCTTAGCAGCTGTAACATCTTTCTTCAATTCTTCCATATCTCTCTTCAATTTTGCTCTCCGATTCTGAAACCATGTTATGACTTGGGCATTAGTAAGACCCAGCGATTGAGCGATTTCATCTCTGTCTGCTGGTGATAAGTATTTTTGATATAAGAATCTCTTTTCTAGTTCAAATATTTGATGATTTGTAAAAGCAGTCCTGGATTTTCTCTTTTTCTTTGGCTGTTGTCGATTACTGAAGAGATTCAGATGATCTCTTGAAGATTCTAGAAATGAAACAAAATTTGATTTAGAAACTTTCCATTTACAATATTTACATTTATAAAAATACAGATAAAATAATTTGCTTTTATACTCAATATAAACTAAATATATATTATATATCCCCCATATAGACCTATAAAGTTTAAAATAAAAAATTATAGCTTAATTTATAAAAACATTAAGGCTGTCATTTTGAATGTCACATACAAAACTTACAATCGAAATATATTTAAGAAACTGTATCTGTAATTATATTCTTCATAACTTGCAGCGATTTTATTAAATTTATTTATTTATTTATTAAAATCTCTTAAAATTAGAGAAATTCTTTAAAATCTTTAATTAAAACGAGAAACATAGATTAGTTTGTTAGTATAAGAACAAAGAATCTTGTTTTACTATTTTCCACTTCATCTAATTTTAAGAAATTTTAATAAACAAATTGTATCTGTGCTTTAAATCTTAACGAGAATTTATTAAACTTTTCTGTCAATCAATCCGCAACAATTTATAAATTTTAAATAATGTTAAATTTAAGACTATTTACTGTTTTTATAATCGAATTCTCTAAAAAATCTGAAGTGTACGAATCAGAATTATATAAATAATTTTCATTTATTACATGTTTAAATAATAAAAATAAACTAGCTTTACTAGGAAAATCTGAGAAATAATTATTTAAAGGATTTTTAAAAAGTTGAAAAAAATTTACAGAAAAAATTATTTTTTTTGTGGAAAGCAATTGAAGCCAAATTTATACATTTTTAAAAAAGTATCTAAATATAGTTTCCAATTAGATAATGTTTAAAATTAAGTGCTAAAACTTAATTGACGCTTAAAAAAGAAACGATGAATAAAGTGTTGTGAGGAGTCTCAATTCTTGGATTATTTACATCTAAAGATTATTTCAGACCTTGACAAAGTGCTTATGCAGTTACTTCAATTGATTGAAGAGATGACAAACGAATTAGAACGTGACAGAAAATATATAACTCAGTAAATATAAAGGAGAGATGTCAACAGAATAAAATTTGACAATAGAGAATGGGATGATGCTAAAATTGGTACGAATTACTTAACAAACAATAGTCAACATTCATGCAAATGCTAAAACTTACATTAGCTTGTATACTTTCGAATGATCTTAAAAGCACCTCCTCTTGAAAATAATTAATCAAATCATTAAGATATCGTCATAAAGGTGCAAAGCGTGAAAAGGTGTCTTGATATTTATAAAAATTGAAACCATTCCAGACGTATAAGTGATAATACTAACCTAAATATAGACCTAGATGTAGGTTGGAATGTTTCTGTGGGGAAAATCCGAAAGGAATATTTTCGTTATCGTTCCGGTGAAGTAAAAATTGTTTCACATAAAGAAGTATGTGCAATTGGACAATCTATTCCACTTTTATAGAAGATGAACAGAAATAGAGGAACCAAAGCTATCATTATCTGAAGTAACCATCATCTACTTGTGAGGTCTTTAGTGAAGAATCTATCTCTACTATATTATGGTTACTGATTGGGGCAATTTGACTACTCTGAGTTCGTGATAAATTGAGGTTGTTGTCAATGATTGCAGAGAAATCTTAAAATAATTTAGCCAATTTTTTCTTTTTATTTTAAGAATTACAGTAGCTAGAATTCATTACAAGTATCCATCTCGTATGTTGTATAAAGGTATTATTAGATAAAGGTATTTAACGAATGTTTAAATTTATTCTAGGTTCTTAATACGATTTAAAACTAATTACTTGATCAAGAATGACAGATTATTCTTCTCCGTCTGACAAGAAACACATTTGCAACACGTTGAAAAAAGTCTACAAATTTCTGTTTCCTAATTGTAGATGCTAACTCGATATAACAGCCAAGAAATGATGCCAAATAATTTTTTTTATTGGTTTAAGAGGTATTCAGAAGTAGAAATCTTTTAAAATTTATAATTACATAACTTATGTTGACATTAAATGAATTTTTCTAGATAAGAATTTTGTCAGAATGATAGCATATTTAATTTAATTGGTAAGAATGAATGGGATGAAATATGATTGATCATCGGAATTTCTATCGTGTTATCCATGGAGATGATCCAAGTACACGATAATTAATTTAAATTTAAATAAGCTAATCGGTCTACCAATCGTTTATATGTATAAATATATTTTTAATTTTATAAATGTAGTTATGAAATTATAAAAATTACATCTACTAACAGATGTATTCTTTGTTACAGATCATATTAAAAAAGAAGAAAGAGTAACAGCTGCACACATCTGTACTGTGATATAACCAACTCGGATTTTATTAATATTTAGTCTTTTTTATTATGTACTTTTTTTTAATAAAATAAACATTTGGTATATGCTATTTTAGTTTTCCAGATGGTTGTTTATTTGTAAAAATTCAAACATAATCGATTACACATTTTTTAAACATGATATACAGAACCTTAGTCGATCTTACAATTATAAAAATTTGTATTTCGAATATATCATCTGAATTTGTATGAAATTCTAAGAAATAATTAAATTTTGACATTTAACACGGGTAAAATTTAAAGCAGGGAAGTTAATAGGTAAAGGATAGGAAGAATAAACTTCCCTATCCCTAGATTTCCTAGATTAATATGACAATATTAATGTCGTTTAACAAATGATTATTTTCAATTATATAAATTAATTTATCTTATTAAACTCATTTCAGTTTAGTTTATATTAAACATTAAAAAAGTTAATAATACATTAAATTTTCAATATATATGTATTGTTACAATCACATACAACATTGATCCAACATAATAGTTTTAAATATTAAAATATTAAAGCAAAATTAATGGAGTTAGAAAGTAAAATCACTTTAACTTTTTTCTGTGTGATCTAAGATCGAAGTTGTCCCTTAAATTTTGAATCTCCAGTCAACTTTATCTCAACTCTGGTCAACCAATAATAAACATTTCGTTGATTCACGCGACATAAACTATGAAGAAATTGAAAGTTAGCATAAACTGAAGACAGCCTAAACATTTACGTGAATAAATTTCTAATCTTTTAAGAATCGTTTAATATAAAAATAAACTTATATTCGATTTACAAAACTTTAAACGATGTTTTTCTTTAAGTAGATTTTTTTTTTAATTTTTCAAGCGAATTTAAGGTTAATCAACTTTTCTAGTGCATTACAATATAGCCTAAATGAATCTAGCTAAAATACTATAAGAATAAAATTATTTCTTGAAAGATTAACTTCATTCTATTAATTTTAACAATATTATTCGTATTTCTCTTTATAACATCTTTTTTAAAGCAATTTGTTTTCTTAAATTCCATTAAATTCGTCATTTTAATGGAGTCTCGAAAAATATTATTCAGTTTTCTATTTACTGTTTGATCAAAAACAATAAATTCTGGTAGTTTGAGGAAGTTTTGTTCCATAAACTACCAGTTTTTTTTTCTTTTTTTTCATAACTTTTAAAAAAATTTCGACTATAGATTTATAAATTTATATTCTTCTTAAACAGTTAGTCATTTGTCAAATATTTATAAATAAAATTTATAACCAGAATTAAATAACACATAAGCATATAATGATTACTGGTTTGAAGCTATTGATTATATGATTTATAGTTCTTTCCACAAAACATTTATTCTAACTCTTCCTGGTATAAGGTATACATGTAGACTACTAAAGCTATTATTTAAGCAATAATAAATCGTTGTAAAAAAATATTATTTTATTTTATTAACGATTTTTAATTTATTTTAAATATTTTTTTAATTATAATTAATAATATGCTTGTATTTTATAACTTTAAAAGATTTTAATTCTATTTTACTTTAATTTTGTTTAAAAAATCGTAATTATTTTTAAGTTAATCATCTAAATAAATAAAATTAGTAAAGCTTTAGCTGATTCATTAGTTATAAAATTGTGATATTTAATATTCTTCAAAGTAAATTTGCTCGTTAAAAATAATTTAGTTGAAAAGCAAAATTTATTAGATAAAAAAGAGACTTCATCAGCGACGAAATATTTTTAATCGTCAAACAGAAGAAGGTCTTGTTTTGATTTCTTCCGGCGATTCTGCAGATAACTTGGAACAGACTATCTTGTTTATGGTCCAAGTAATCCCTATAATCAAAACAGCTGCCAAAAACCTGAGAGTGAGTAACTCTAGATGTCTTGTGACCCGAAACTCTACGTCAGAATGAATGATAATAATCTGTTGTGCTCTTTTTTGTCATATCTTGAATTAAAGTGGTAAATGTAAGCTTTACCTCCTATTAACTATAAGAACATTAAAAATGAAACTTTCACATTTTTTAAAATAAAAATAATTCCCCATTATTTTATTATTTAAAATGTTCTGATTTTTCATATTAAATTAGTCTTTTATTTTCTGTTTCCTTAACAGGCCTAATAAATATATAAATAATATGTTAATAACATGTATAAATTATCTTAATTTACTTTAACGAAAGATTTTTATAAATTTGTCTCAATTATTTTGTTAAATTTAAGGAAAAACCATTAACAAACTATATAAAACATTTATATTAATTTATGTCATAACTTATGAATAATACTACTTAACTTTTATTGAAAATATTATTGAATTTTTGGGATTCGTGCTAGATAAATCATATACAAAGTCTGATTATCTCGATTAAAATTGTTAGAATTGCATGGAAAAACAGTTCTCTTCGTCTATTTTATAGAATTAAATTAAAAGATTAAATTGAATTCTAACGTTTTGATATATTGAAGATTCTCAAATCAAGAAATGTTTGATTTTATTAAATTTTAATATTGTTCAGAATCAGATATTTAATAATTTAGATTAATCGATTACTCGATTGTTTAACTTCCCACAAATTCCTATTTATAGTTCCGTAAATGTAGTTTTGAATGTGAACATTTAAGAGGAACTATTGATAATACACACAGGTATAAGTATCACATAAGTTACATGTGTATCTGCACATAGATATCAGTATTTTTAGCAGTCTAAGAGCGAACTTTTATGGGCGTGTGGCTTAATGCCTTCCTATTACTAGAATTATACTCTCCAATCCTCTAGTAAATGGAAAACTTGACTTCTGTAATTACATATTATATAAATCAATCTTTATTACATGTTATTAGAAGAAGGCAGTTTGACACATTAAATACAGAGCGAGCAACACCACAGGGTTTTGGTACACCCCTCTCCGCTTTTGTCTTGATATTCCGAACTGGAATCTGTTGGTGGATTGTCACTTGGTCTTAATGTCACCAAAACCCATTAACAGATGGATCAAGTGGCCAAATTGCCTTTAATAAAATTATAAATTCTATTAGATTGGACTTTTCAAGGGGACCTCCTAAGAAAAGTTTTCCTTCTTAATTCATTGAAAATTCATTAAATATTTTATTATTTCTTTTCATCTAAAATTTAGTTATAAGTAAGTCGTGGTGTTTTTTCGAAAGCAATAATGCATTAATTTACACCAACGTTTCCTGTAAACAAGGAAACACTGGAAAACCGTATTGTACAGTACCTTGTAAGAAAATATTATTTTTATTATATTTTGATTTACACGAAAATAATTATTTTATAAATTTTAATAACAAGTTAATTAAAATATAATTAAATTTCTAACTAAACTTCAAAAAAGTTACTTTCATGTACAGAGTTCTCAATAGAATATTGAGAAAATATAATCTTAATAAAATTACATTTAAAAATCCAAGATTTTTAGATTTGTTTATAAAGAAATAAGATAAATTCAAACAAATTTTTGATAAAAACTAAATTAATAACATATGCTATTACTTAACGTGGGCTAAATTAGTTTGCGATATCAAAATTCAGATAGTTCTGTTAACAGTCCCATTTGGATACAATTACAGAAAAAGAATTATAAATGCCCATTAAAAGAATAGAAAAATATGTTAATAGGAAGTATAGCTTATAAATATGCAAAAAGGAAATGAATAATTACTTCCGTATTCACTATCACTAATAAAACCGAACAACACTTTATCATCCTTGAACACTTACCTTTACAACACAATCGCAATTCAACTTCTGACATTGTAACGGTCATTACTATAATCAGAAATTAATAATAATAATACATGAATGAGTAATAAATATGTATTAAAAAAAAACTACTAACAAATTTCTGTGGAAGTATATATTTTATTTCAAACACTGGAAAGTGCAATATTGCATGAAAAGCAGCCTGAATGTCGACCTACAGATATATATATATATATAGTTTTATATATATATATTTATTTTATATAATATATTTATATTTATTTATATATATATATGTACATATTCCCTCATGTCAGAACAATCACAAACAAGTGCAGATTCACTTGAAGACTTCGAGAGAAGAATAAAATTTAAAAGCTTTCTAGAATCTAGATACTGTACAGAATTTTAACATACCTACAAGCCTATAGGTCCTAGTATTTTTTTTGTGTTTTTTTTATTTAAGTACAGTTCTAAAATTTTTGGAAAAGCTTTGAATAAATTTATACAAGGAGAAACATGAACAGATTCCACTCCGAAGTATTTACACACAAAATGCAAGGCACTCAGTACATCGGGGCTATGTACACGTGATATGTGAAATCATCCGGGAAAGTACTGATCACCCTGTAAAGTCTAGAATTATTATTATTATTATTATTATTTGTTTTTTTAATTATTATTTTTGTTTAAATTCTGGATTTATATAAAAATCCAGACATGATGTATTCATCTTTTAAATAAGTGTAGTCTTTTGAAAGTAAAATATGTACACAATGGTCAATTAGTCTTTTTATGTAGTTCCTTTTTTAACAAAGTGAGATCTTCTATATTGTCGAGTAAAGCTGAGTGAATGGGTTGAATCTTAGCAGCTGTAACATCTTTCTTCAATTCTTCCATATCTCTCTTCAATTTTGCTCTCCGATTCTGAAACCATGTTATGACTTGGGCATTAGTAAGACCCAGCGATTGAGCGATTTCATCTCTGTCTGCTGGTGATAAGTATTTTTGATATAAGAATCTCTTTTCTAGTTCAAATATTTGATGATTTGTAAAAGCAGTCCTGGATTTTCTCTTTTTCTTTGGCTGTTGTCGATTACTGAAGAGATTCAGATGATCTCTTGAAGATTCTAGAAATGAAACAAAATTTGATTTAGAAACTTTCCATTTACAATATTTACATTTATAAAAATACAGATAAAATAATTTGCTTTTATACTCAATATAAACTAAATATATATTATATATCCCCCATATAGACCTATAAAGTTTAAAATAAAAAATTATAGCTTAATTTATAAAAACATTAAGGCTGTCATTTTGAATGTCACATACAAAACTTACAATCGAAATATATTTAAGAAACTGTATCTGTAATTATATTCTTCATAACTTGCAGCGATTTTATTAAATTTATTTATTTATTTATTAAAATCTCTTAAAATTAGAGAAATTCTTTAAAATCTTTAATTAAAACGAGAAACATAGATTAGTTTGTTAGTATAAGAAGAACAAAGAATCTTGTTTTACTATTTTCCACTTCATCTAATTTTAAGAAATTTTAATAAACAAATTGTATCTGTGCTTTAAATCTTAACGAGAATTTATTAAACTTTTCTGTCAATCAATCCGCAACAATTTATAAATTTTAAATAATGTTAAATTTAAGACTATTTACTGTTTTTATAATCGAATTCTCTAAAAAATCTGAAGTGTACGAATCAGAATTATATAAATAATTTTCATTTATTACATGTTTAAATAATAAAAATAAACTAGCTTTACTAGGAAAATCTGAGAAATAATTATTTAAAGGATTTTTAAAAAGTTGAAAAAAATTTACAGAAAAAATTATTTTTTTTGTGGTATAAAAATTTCTGTGGAAATTATATTGCATATCGCATTTATGATTTTTTTTCAACTGTAATAAAGAAAACAATAATCATAAAACAGAATTATTATCTGATTTATCAAAGATAGGAAAATTTTTATTACAGTACTGTACAGTACTTNTTACTTTTATTTAGATGATAACACTGACTTTAATCATCTAAATAAATAAAATTAGTAAAGCTTTAGCTGATTCATTAGTTATAAAATTGTGATATTTAATATTCTTCAAAGTAAATTTGCTCGTTAAAAATAATTTAGTTGAAAAGCAAAATTTATTAGATAAAAAAGAGACTTCATCAGCGACGAAATATTTTTAATCGTCAAACAGAAGAAGGTCTTGTTTTGATTTCTTCCGGCGATTCTGCAGATAACTTGGAACAGACTATCTTGTTTATGGTCCAAGTAATCCCTATAATCAAAACAGCTGCCAAAAACCTGAGAGTGAGTAACTCTAGATGTCTTGTGACCCGAAACTCTACGTCAGAATGAATGATAATAATCTGTTGTGCTCTTTTTTGTCATATCTTGAATTAAAGTGGTAAATGTAAGCTTTACCTCCTATTAACTATAAGAACATTAAAAATGAAACTTTCACATTTTTTAAAATAAAAATAATTCCCCATTATTTTATTATTTAAAATGTTCTGATTTTTCATATTAAATTAGTCTTTTATTTTCTGTTTCCTTAACAGGCCTAATAAATATATAAATAATATGTTAATAACATGTATAAATTATCTTAATTTACTTTAACGAAAGATTTTTATAAATTTGTCTCAATTATTTTGTTAAATTTAAGGAAAAACCATTAACAAACTATATAAAACATTTATATTAATTTATGTCATAACTTATGAATAATACTACTTAACTTTTATTGAAAATATTATTGAATTTTTGGGATTCGTGCTAGATAAATCATATACAAAGTCTGATTATCTCGATTAAAATTGTTAGAATTGCATGGAAAAACAGTTCTCTTCGTCTATTTTATAGAATTAAATTAAAAGATTAAATTGAATTCTAACGTTTTGATATATTGAAGATTCTCAAATCAAGAAATGTTTGATTTTATTAAATTTTAATATTGTTCAGAATCAGATATTTAATAATTTAGATTAATCGATTACTCGATTGTTTAACTTCCCACAAATTCCTATTTATAGTTCCGTAAATGTAGTTTTGAATGTGAACATTTAAGAGGAACTATTGATAATACACACAGGTATAAGTATCACATAAGTTACATGTGTATCTGCACATAGATATCAGTATTTTTAGCAGTCTAAGAGCGAACTTTTATGGGCGTGTGGCTTAATGCCTTCCTATTACTAGAATTATACTCTCCAATCCTCTAGTAAATGGAAAACTTGACTTCTGTAATTACATATTATATAAATCAATCTTTATTACATGTTATTAGAAGAAGGCAGTTTGACACATTAAATACAGAGCGAGCAACACCACAGGGTTTTGGTACACCCCTCTCCGCTTTTGTCTTGATATTCCGAACTGGAATCTGTTGGTGGATTGTCACTTGGTCTTAATGTCACCAAAACCCATTAACAGATGGATCAAGTGGCCAAATTGCCTTTAATAAAATTATAAATTCTATTAGATTGGACTTTTCAAGGGGACCTCCTAAGAAAAGTTTTCCTTCTTAATTCATTGAAAATTCATTAAATATTTTATTATTTCTTTTCATCTAAAATTTAGTTATAAGTAAGTCGTGGTGTTTTTTCGAAAGCAATAATGCATTAATTTACACCAACGTTTCCTGTAAACAAGGAAACACTGGAAAACCGTATTGTACAGTACCTTGTAAGAAAATATTATTTTTATTATATTTTGATTTACACGAAAATAATTATTTTATAAATTTTAATAACAAGTTAATTAAAATATAATTAAATTTCTAACTAAACTTCAAAAAAGTTACTTTCATGTACAGAGTTCTCAATAGAATATTGAGAAAATATAATCTTAATAAAATTACATTTAAAAATCCAAGATTTTTAGATTTGTTTATAAAGAAATAAGATAAATTCAAACAAATTTTTGATAAAAACTAAATTAATAACATATGCTATTACTTAACGTGGGCTAAATTAGTTTGCGATATCAAAATTCAGATAGTTCTGTTAACAGTCCCATTTGGATACAATTACAGAAAAAGAATTATAAATGCCCATTAAAAGAATAGAAAAATATGTTAATAGGAAGTATAGCTTATAAATATGCAAAAAGGAAATGAATAATTACTTCCGTATTCACTATCACTAATAAAACCGAACAACACTTTATCATCCTTGAACACTTACCTTTACAACACAATCGCAATTCAACTTCTGACATTGTAACGGTCATTACTATAATCAGAAATTAATAATAATAATACATGAATGAGTAATAAATATGTATTAAAAAAAAACTACTAACAAATTTCTGTGGAAGTATATATTTTATTTCAAACACTGGAAAGTGCAATATTGCATGAAAAGCAGCCTGAATGTCGACCTACAGATATATATATGTAGAGAAAGTAAAGCTGTGAAGATTTTATGAAAGAAGAGCCACGTTCAGGAAACAATTTGCCAGGTGCACATATAATTACAACATTATTCAGCAAATATTTTAGTTATGATGAATATAACTCAAGTGCTAAAAAACAGCGTAAAATATATTTAATTAAATTTTCTCTTTTCTATTTTTAAAGAAGTATATAGAGTCTGTATATTTGTAACTTCATAAATTGCATATTCTAAGGTAGAATTTCTCATTTTTTTAGATATATAAGTTTATTTTACACTTTCTCAAGTAGATAAAACTTATTAAAAATTTAATATCAATCAAATAATGAACAGTTTTATGTCAATGTTACAGATGGAAAATATTTCTTTCGAACAATACTTCTTTATTATTTTATAGCTTGGTTTTTCTTGACCCAATTAATTTTTTTTGAAACAACTCTCGCTTACACTAATTGATTGTTGGGTTATAAACATAAAAATTTAACAACAAACGTTATTGTAGAAATGAAGGATATAAAATTTTATGTTATTCGTTTTTTAAATACTTATTAAAACAAAAGATTTAAAAAAATACTGTATATATTATAATAACCTCTTAAAAATAATTAACTTTTTTATTGATTAATAAAATCAACACTCGAATAAATTAATAAATATTGCTCTATGTACAGTATTTAAAACTTAGCGATAGATCAATTATGTATAATGGATATGTATTTAAAACATCACCTAATTTTTTAGAATTAAATTTTTTTTTTATTCTTTGATCAGTGAATAATAAATACTTTCTTTCTTTTATAGAAAATTCTAAATTTTAAATCTAAATTTTATAATTGTTATATTCTAAAATACTTGTATCTTAGGGAAAAATATGTATTTATGTGAGCAAGATTGTTTTCTCAAATCTATATAATTTGAATGTGTTTTTTATTTGTGAAAAAGAAATGTTTTGTATAATTTCTTTCTTTATTATTATTTTTTTCAATATGCAAAATGTAAATAGAAATGTAATAGATTTAAACAAACTTTGGGTTGTGTGTTCGTTGTCATGTTTGTTGTCAAGTTAATTTCACACATTAAACATGCCTCGTGAAGTAAATAAGAAAACAGTGTTCGTATCAACTTTCACTTTTGAGATAAATCTTAAACATTTTAATTTGATTTAACAAAACTTTATGCTTATTTATAGAGTCTATTTTATAGATTATATATAGTAGGCAATAGTTGTAAGCATAAATTACGCATTTTGATGCATTTCATTTTATAACAATTAAGTAAAATAGTATCCATTCAAATTTATTCAGTTCGTTTCAACAAAAAATTTAGATTTATATAAATTTGGTTATATATTTTTAAAGCTTAATAATTCGAAAAACAATTGTTTTGTTAGAGTTAGTATTACATTTGCTTAATTATTTAACATTTTAAACTATAACGTATGAGATTTCTAATAAGACTAATCACGTTCTAAAATAATTTTATGACAATATTGAGAGAAGCAGATTCTTGCTTTAAATGTTTGCATATTTAATAATTAGGTATTAAGAGAAAGAAAGACGATAAGGTTGCTTTAACAACAAACTGGATAACCTGCAGAGAAGACACAAAAGGCCTTTTGCCCATTAATTACTTTTTTTGATGGTAACGATGACGTGGAGAATCACGAAGAGATTGATGCATCCTTCAGGTGTGTCACACTTCTGAGTGACGCTCCAACCCTCTTTTAATCCCTCAATCATCGACTGAGATTACATTCTCAGCTAATATTCCACTTAGTTTCAGCATAGACAAGTGTGTCTCTTATATGATTGATGAAGTCACCATAAAAGGACAAAATTGAGCATTAACAACATGAGTTCCAATTTGTCATGTAACTAAGGAAATGGTAATAATTAAATTGATTTTACTTGATCCTAGCTTTTTAATAATATGGTACTTGCAGTTGATTTTAAATAATTTATGTGTTAATGATTTATCATCTATATTTTTCATAAATTGAAAAAAATGAATATGAAAACTAAAATCTTAGAAAAGTTTTTCTAGATTACATATGCCTATTTTTCTTTAGAAATCTGCTTATTGTTTCAATTGATGTTCGACAATTGCCTCGAACACCTTTCATTAAGTTTACCAAGAAGAAGAGAATACATACTTTGTAATCCTAAAATGGTAAACTAAACTATCATTTCATCTACTATAGTATAGACCTATTATTTTAATTTTTATAATAGATTATAATCTTAAAACAGTAGAATTAAAAATAGACTACCTCTGTCCAACAAGTT